GACGAGTTAGGCCTTGTGGATATCACTGTTTTTCTAGGAATAACTCTTGATTCAAAGCTTCAATGGGGCCCCCATATATCCAAACTTGCTAGCAGACTAAGTCCTGCAGCATATGCTGTAAGGAAAATAAGATATCTGACCGATGTAAATACAGCTAGAATCGTTTATTTTAGTTATTTCCATAGCATAATGTCATACGGCATGCAGCCGATGTTGAAACAATATTTATTTTGCAAAAAAGGGCCATAAGAGCAATTTACAATCTTAATTTGAATGCATCTCTGAGAGAGAAATTTAAAGAAATAAATATTTTAACCTTGGCCTCTCAATATATTTATGAAAATGTAATGTATGTACATAGAAACATTAATAATTTTAATAAAAATACTGATGTACATAATGTAAACACTAGGAACAAACACAAGCTTGTAACGCCAGTTACTAGACTCCATAGAGTCAGTAACTCGTTCATGGGACGGTGTATACGCTTCTACAACAAAATCCCAGTTAATGTGCAAAGCCTATCTATTAACAGGTTTAAGACATTTATTAAAGAAAAACTTTTTAAAAAGGGTTATTATAATATAAATGAATACATTAACGATAATAACCCCTGGGAATCAGATGATCGCTCCTAAGCTATTTCTAAAAAAATATATATACTGTATAACTATGTATTTGTTGAGTAAAAAAAAATTGACAAATAAGAGGATACCTACGGAGTTTCTTTCGCCTGTTTCTTCTCCGTTAGAGGAACCTCATTACGAAACGGTGGTAGATTTAAAAAATGACTAACGATAAATGAAATGTAATATACATTTCATTTATCTTATTTCGATTAATAAATGATTTGAATTTGAATTTGAATTCAACTTCACCGGAGGGTGGCGACCTATCACCTTAAGCATCACCAAAGCCAAGACGCTAAACCGTAATCGCGGGTTAGCAATCGGTGAAAAAATAAACAAAGACTGACCGATCACATCCGAAATTCTAACATTGCCCACCCCACGAATAGAATGAGTATAATTGTAAATAGAATTGCCCAACCGTACTGCAAGATCGCTCGATATAATACTGCCCTGTGCATCGGAATCTAACAGAGCACGAGCGAACGCAGTGTTGCCATCCGAATCCAAAACCCGAACAGAAGCCGTGGGAAGTAAAACAGTTTCTGGGGCTAGGGCAACACTGGAGTGGGTGGCAATTGCCTTTGCAATCCATGTGCAAATTTATTCATTCCATTTAGGTATCTTTACATGTATCATGTCGTATATACGGTTTGTAAGTAAGAACGACGATTCAACAAAAATACAATCATCGGTTCTCTCAAAAAATGTAAACAGATATATTTGTTGGGGTGTAATCGTTAGAGGCAAAGATTTTAACGAAGCAGCGAGGCTTGATAATGGCGGAAGTGAAATTTTAACTTCCCTAAAACAACGTAGAAGGGAGTTACATTAAAAAGATTATTGTGCGAAACTAATTGGAGGCTGGGAGGGAATTCAACTGAACAATGGTTCAGACTGAAGAAGTATCGATTATCCGGGATAACTTCGACTGCTTATCTTTGAAGCTTAGAGTTTCTGTAAAAAAAAAAACATTTGACAAGAAAATATTACCTTATTTTTCATGCTCAACTCATGAATTTTCAAACATACTTCAAAAAAAATATATTTTATCCACTTCCTTATATCAGCCAATATTCAGTTTTAAAATGACATTTATCCTGTGAGAAAATTGTAATATACATCTTCATTTATGATATATTTTTTATATTAATAGTGGTATGCTATTAAAAGCATGTAATTTTGTAGATTGACTTTATTTAATAAATAAATAGACGTCGTTAGGATCCAAACATTTTTTTACAGTATTTTAATTCATTGGAAAGCAAACTTAGTAACAAAGCACGGTGAAATTGGCCCTCAAAGAAAAATATAGCGTTCCGTTACTAACCATAACTTTGGAAACGCCTTGGCAAATCCACTCTCCTCCCTCGATCTAATAGCAGGAATGTCAATAGCTGTGATTGCCTTGTCGCACAAGTAAACCGTTTGCTATATTTTGATACTAGCGACCCGCCCTGTCTTCGCAAGGGTGCAATGTTATACATATAAACTTTCCTCTTGAATCACTCTATCTAGTGATAAACCGCGTCAAGATCGGTTGCGCAGTTTTAAAGATCTAAGAATACATAGGTACAGACAGACAGCGACTACTATGTTTTATAATATGTAGCGATACTTCGTGAAATAATTTTGGCGCGGCAAATATTCGAACCTGCACACTTCGGAGTAAGCGCCTAGAATTCAGACGCTCTAGGAACTAAGCTAAACGGTCGACACCCTCACCGCGCGAAATTCTCCAAATCTTATTAACTTTTGCTTTTATTACTTTTCAACATTTGTAGCAATTCTTGGCGTTATCTACTGTACGAGCCGTGATAGCCCAGTGTCCGCGCGCTCACCTGTAATTCAATATACTCGAGCAACCGGAGTTCGGTCCGGTGCCGGCACCAATGAAGTTGTTAATTTCAAGTACTGACTTATGACATGCTCGGCGGCGAAGGAGAACACCGTGAAGAAACCTGCACGTTTTCGAAATAATAATAAAAAAAATTATGTGTTAAGTTATGTGAAGTCCACCAATCCGCATTGGGGCCGCGTGTTGGACTATGCCCTGATAACCTCTGTATAGAGGAGGCCTTTTCCCAGCAGTGGGACATGTGCAGGCTGTTACTTAACTTTTACTTTATCTAACGTACTAACCTTTACAGAAATCATGCTTTCTCAGATTACATTTTTAGAATGAATATTTTGAAGTTTTGCTAGTTGGCTACCATTTGTTACTGAATTTTTTTTATTTAGAAGGTGGCAGATTTAAGTGATAATTTATTTTATTTTATTTTTATTTTATTTTATAATCACCACCCATGGACATTTGCAACACCGGTAGAAATGCAGATGCGTTGCCACCTTTTAATAAAGTGGGTTCCGATTAGCTGACTCACCAGACGAAACGCAAAAGTAAAACAATTCACTTCACGCCAGTCATCTGTGCGGGCGTGGTACTTTCCTGGACGAATCAGTCCATACGCGCCACAGCGAAGAGTGTTGCGTGGTCTTACCACAAAATGTTCAAAGTTACACATTAGTTCTAATCTAGCATTTACATATGCTGTATTAGAAGATATTCTTCTAGCCAACGTATTGACATATCAGTAACTTAACTACAGGAATACTGTCAATCGATGATGTCACCCGCCTTTTCACAAACTTACCAAGAAACGACTCTAATATTAAAAATGTTTATGTTAAAGACACGGTAGTTTAGTGGTTTAATAAGTTGACTTTGATATTTAGTCGTGCAATAGTATCTCAAAGGCTTGTATTACAAAAATTTTCCTCTTACAGATTTCTGCCCTGGCACTTTTGGGACCAAATAGATCTTAAATGAAATGAAGATGTATGCGTCCTTACCTATGAGTTATAACTGTAACATAGTAAATAATTCATTTGGAAAGAATAAGTCAGCAAATTAACAATTTAATTGATGCCGACACCATTATTTGAACCCAGATTGCCCGAATATTTCGAATAAAAAGCGCCCAGACTCTGAGCTATCATGGCTCCTAAATCCAGCATAATATAATAGGTTGGAGCAAAGTTTCAAAAAAATATCAATATTTCAACAAAATCAAAATTTCCGGATTGCAAACGCTAAAACCAAATGTGTGCTACTCTCGCAGATATTGCACTAGGACCATAAATTTTTTTCGCGGCTTGCGTTGCATTTTTACCTTTTTATAGTAAAATTTTAAAATGTATAGAATTTCTTCATTAGAATCACTCATCTTAACCTTAAGGAAAACAAATGAAAATCACACATTTTCCTAATTTGAATTTGGAATTATCTTTTTTCAAATTTTAACTTTTAATAATACCAAAACCAGGCAGATACAAAATAGCCGAAAAGATTATATTATAAGTTCATACATACTATTTACGAAAAGAGTTTTTCTCCAACCTAATATATCGTACTAAGTGTGTTTTTTACAAGTTATCGCTTCATTCTTTTGTAAAATGACGCAGTACTAATCATTTCATTGGAATAAACTTGTTGACTTGCAAATGTATTCGAATACGAAACGATCGGTTGCACTGTAGCGTTAATGTTCAGCGCCGCAATGGATCTCTTTTCAGATTAATATATAGATCGCGATAAAGGCAGTGGGGTAAATGGAGACAGACGTCGCGACAGCCCTGGCGCCAAGTTTCAAAGAATGGCAAAGACTAAATCCTCAACAGATGAGCTATGTTGTTACGTCATAAAATATCGTATTTATATACCCGAATGGCGTGAACCTGTGACGATCCAAGGTCCCCACTAAAGAAAATTTACACTAAAAGATAAAAATAGTGAATTTCTAGTATCCAGGATCTTTATGTTTAGCAGTTACTTTGTTGCCGTAGTTAACTAGACAACATGCTATGTTACAAGCTATGTTTAGCTGGGACTTGTTAACGTTGTTACCTATTAATATAAATGAACGCAAAATCCATTGCTATCAGTTCATAATTAAACGTATTTTTTTTTAACACGTAGTCCAATCCTCCTAGATATTTATTTATAGGATAAAAATTCATCCTTTCAGTTAAATACATCAGTGAGCATGTATGCATTTTTATGTTTTTAATCTTTGCCACGAATGCTGAAGCTGCCACATCTGAATTTTCTACCATCCTCCTATTGGTGGCTTTTGCTCTGCGGTAACCTAACAACCAATGACGTATGGCGGTATAAATATTTCACTCAATGGTGAATTTAACGTTGGTACACACCGACCAATACGCTCGCTCTCTCCGTTCCCTACGTTTACGTTATGCGAATCTCGCCAAAGTTTCATAATACAATGTTCCCCTCTCTTGTGAACGAATTGTTTGTTTATAGAATGTTACAGTGTTGATTATTAATATAGAACTGAAGTGGGAAGAACAATGATTATTGTATATATAGATATAGTGCTTTTGATAATTCTGGTGAGTTTTGACCGTGCTTTCCATTACCTCTTGACCCGATTTTCTGTTTACTAACATTATGTTCAAAGATCTTATATATTAGTTGTGAGGAATAAATATAAGACTGGGAAATATCAAAAATTTCTTTAATTATATCAAGTTACTTCCTTCCCATAGCACTTTATTTTAACAATTTTTAAATGATTTCTTAAAATAAAACCGATGTATGAATACATCATTTCCTTTACAATTATTAATTTAATAATAAGCATTGATTTTCTTTCTCAAGCCAGAGAAAAAGGAAACTGTACCAGAAGATTTCCACCACATTGGTCTACTATGCGACTATTGACCATAGAGTTTTACTATGAAAAAATGTGTTTCGTTTTAAAAAAAGGACAAACTAGGCAACTGTTTCAACTACTAAAAACCACATCCATTCCGTCCACCCTGAGCTTTCTCGGTCGATCGTTTAAAATAACCCATTTAAATTTATCCGGCCGGAATTAATCATGATTTAAAACGTTCGGATAAATGTAATCAACATGTAGGATGAACGTATAAATCCATACTTAATATTATAAATGCGAAAGTAACTCTGTCTGTATGTCTAACTTTCACGCCAAAGCTACTGAACCGATTTAATTGGAAGTTGGTACACAGATAGTCTAGAGCCTGAAAAAGGACATAGGCTAGCTTTTAATAGAAAAAAAAGTGTAAAGGGTTGAAAAGGAGGAAGAAAAGTTGTTTGAAAGTGTTGTCATTTTCAGAACAAGAAGCATAAAAATTATATTTTAGGCTGTTAATTAGATATAAATAAATATGGCATTCAAAGTTTGTAAAAAAAATTCCCACGCGGACGAAGTCGCGGGCACAGCTAATATGTAATACAGCGATTTTAATAGGAGGGCCACTGAATAGATTTTTTTTTTCTTTTTCCGTTATCCTGCGTTGTAAGGACGTTTTAAAAACATAAATTGCACGAGCACAAACACCCAGATGCCAAAGACATATTATATAAAACAAATCTTGTACACGCTGTTGCAAGAATAGGCAGGCCCATTGGGGGAAGTCCAATACAGAAGACTGGTGTGAATTGGACGCGTTGTTACTTTTTCGTTTCGTATGGCGAGTGGTTACCGGAGCCAACTAGGTTAGGACTCTGCAACGCCCGTAAGGTTGTACCTTACGGGCGTTGCAGAGATCCAAGGGCGGCACATAAAATCAGGTGAACCGCCAATTCGTTTGCCACTTTATCAAATGAAAAAAAGCGCTTCTTTATGTTCAATTGACACATTTAGACAGTATAAGATAAGCGGACTGTGATAACTATTGTACATTAGGCGATGTTTGCAGCTATTCCTGATCCTGTTCACGTGCGGCTACTGCGTGTACAGAGTTCACAGGTTGCAGCAAAATGGTCAGGTGGGTACTTAGTATTTTGTTTTAACAAAGTTAGTCTTAAATTTTTCCTTCGATTCCAGAAACTCTTTAATGACCCCGGCGCGACTATAGCCTTCTTTTCGGGTGTTACCGCACCCATTCTGCCAAATTGGTTCTGTGCTGGTTCAATCACCACAGCTCTCCTCCCGAGCCCTATCTAGAGTGGCAGACACCCCCATGCCTTCCGCTAGGGGCCTCAGGGGGGAAGGTTCGCGCGTAGGCCAACCACCTGCGCCTTGGTTTCCGGCGCCGGATATCCGGAGTTGCAGTTGCCTCTCTTAATCTCTCCGTGGCTTCCTTCCGGGTGATGACGTCCCGCAGTGTACGAGGACAGCACCTCACATCCTCTCCCTATCAACCATAGCACGAGCCACGGCAGGCAGCGAAAGGAGTTCTCGTTTGACGTAACGAACCGTTTATCGTAATACTGTTTATTATAGAAAAATCTGTATTGTAACATTATCAAATATGCGAGGGAGAGTTTTATTTTTCAGTTGAAAAAACCCTTATATGCTGTACCATTATAATTTATTCCCAAAGAATTAAACACTAACAACATCAACAATCTCAACTCGCAAAAAAATCATTTCGATTTATACAGAGAAAATTCAATATACACAGAAATTTGCATTAGATTGAACTATTAATAATTGTTTTTAACAACTTGTTTAACGAAACGTCAGTTAAATAAATAGGAAATTTTAAAACATTGGTATTGTTTGTAAGAACTTAATTAAGCATTGATTTAAGAACATCAGTAATGTCACACATTCGATAAACCTAATGCGATTAAATATGCGATAAAATTCAATACTTTTTATAAACAAAAATTTATATGAACAAAGTCGTCCCGCTGTCTGCCTGTCCGAATGTATGCTTAGATCTTTAAAACTAAGCAACGGATCTTGATGTGGTTTTTTTACTAGATAGTGATTCAAGAAGAAGGTTTATATGTATAATACATTGCGCCCGTGCAAAGCCGGGGTGGGTCGCTAGTTTTATACATAAAGGAATCGCTCATTGCCCGGGCGCTCGCTCTTAATTCAATACACTCCAGCAACCTGAGTTCGAACTCCGGTGCCGACACCAATGAAAATGTTAATTTGAAGTGTCGACTTATCACGTGCGCAGTCGTGAAGGAAAACATCGTGATGTGAACATCGTAATGACATAAAAAAATCATTTCAAAGACATATTGTGAATTCCACCAATCCACAGTGGGACCGCGTGTCCGCTATGTCCTGAAACCCTCTGTACAGAGGGGACTTTGCCCAGCAGTGGGACATTATTGGCTGTTACTTTACTTAACATTTAAAACTGAACTTTGTGTCTAAACGTGCTGTTTGATTTCAGGTGGCAATTTTACTTAAGCCAACGAGGGTACTGTTTTCGCACAGAAAAGAAGGGGACTCCAACGAGGAGTTGCGGTCAGTATTAACGTTGTAAATGAGTATCACTCTTCATGTGTGGATATCAGTTCGATGTTTACATCATAGCGACCTTGACCTTTTCACAACGAGCTCCCACGCTTTTTCATCATAACAGTGTGGGCGAAAATACTTAGTGCTTCATACTTTCAAGTCTATCAAGTCTCGCCTCCGTATGTGAGACATGTAAGACATTTGTCATATACGCTCAAATATCACAAATGACTTGTAATAGAAGCGTATTCGCTCATAAGAAATCCGAAAAATGGAAAACTCTTGCATCAATGAGTTGTCCATTGGCACAACAATTGTGGATACACTAAGTCCACCCAATGACTTTCACCTTCCGACATTTCAAACATTTTATATACGTAGGGTTAGATGGCATAGCACCTGTCTTGTACGTGCGTGTGGTATTTACACGACTGAGCCTTAAATAGACTTATTCGATTGTATGTACGAGCATGCTTACGATATGCTATGCTGCTGCGTATGTTCTCAGGACGGTGGTGGCTTACCAGAATCCATTCACCGGCGACTACTGCGTGCACAAAAGCCGATTGGGTACTAAGTGTTACGTGAACGCAGCGCCCGCTCTCCCTTCTCCCCCCTCCCCCCTCCCCCACTACACCCCCGCCTCCCCCGCCTCCCCCGCATCCCCCGACAGCGGGATGTCCGACGAGTACGAGCCCTTGGCTCCAGTTCCGAGGCCTGACAGCGCACAGGACTACCAGGTCAGTGCAATATATTATTTTATTAGTATTTTTACAATCAATAAGTGAGTGTAATGTTCCAACGTTGAATAAAGATATTTGAATATGAATTTGGAAACAAACATACACTTTATGTAGAAAAGTCACCACAGTGGCCTATAAAAATCTGCAACTACAGAGAAAATACAAAAATGCTTCCATCTTTCTTGGTATGAATACACCTAAAGCCTTCAGGCTGAGTTCGCAATTACGGCAGTTTTTTTATTTTTATTTATACATAAAAGTTGTCAAGCGAGCAGGCGGTTCACCTGATATTAAGTATTTGGAAGCCCACGAACATCAACAATGCCTGACCCGTGGGGGGCCCGCTTACCTCACTCAACGGACGAAATGCGAAAGTAGAATACGTCCACTTCATTCTATCCCCGGAAACCTGCCCATTGGTGAAACATCCTCCTCGACATTTCCAACACCTCCCCAGGTTAAACCCCTTATAAGCGGGTTTTCGGCCTCAGTTACCTCATAAACCACTTCGCGCCAGGTTTATTTAAGGCCTTGTTACGTCCAAAGGCGAGCTTGATTCTTGTAACAACTGCTCCATAGAAAGTATGTTCTATTATTAGCCTAGTTTGATATTTCAAGAACTTATCCACTAAGTTAACTCAAATTATTTTCATTTCTAAAGGAGCCTTTGAAGCCGCCACTGATCCCAGCGGCCAGCGATAACAGCGTGAACAAAACCTGGAACTGGAACTATACCGAGTATCAGATTTGAGAAAATGTTCCCTATAAACCTGGCATCATCAGTTACATTTCATATCATCCCATCAGCTGCGCTCTTGAATTTCGTTTCAAAAAGGTTTGTGTGTAGTAAAAATTAATGGCTATTTATACTTACAAAATCTGTTTTTAAAGGTTGTGTAAAGATGATGGAATATTTACACTTTATGAGGAGAACAAGAGAGGTTTCCTACTATATTTTTAATATTATAAATGTGGATGTATGTTTGTTTGTTAAGCTTTCACGCCAAAACTACTCAACCGAATATCATTAAACTTTGTACACATATTGTTAGAGGTATTAAAAAAAAGAGGACAAACGATTATTTTTATTAAAAAAAGTTTTATTTAACAAAAAATATTTTTAATTAAGGGCTTCAACGCAGGCGGAGCCGCAGGCGAAGAGCTAGTATAGTATAATTATGCTTTAATAGCACGCCTAATTGTTAATCCTTTATTTTTATGACCAGTTTGTGGAGGTCTGTTTTTAAAACGTTTGTTCTTTCAAAAGTTCTAGAAAGGTCAAAACGGTAAAAAAATAACATCAAATCATATCAATAACATCAAAATAAAAACATCAACCATCATTAATCCTTCAAATATTTTTAAACAATCGACGGTTTTTTTTTGCATTGCTTTATTCCTTAATCAAGAATTTATTGGCTTATGAGTACGTTTGATTACATATTATATCATTTATAATTCAGTGTTTACATTAAATTTGATAATATAAGCACATTCCATTTATTTTAACCAGAGTCCAGTATTACTGTCAATAGGGTTATTTTTCCGATTGTTTGATTTCTAAGATTTCTGTTATTTTTGGGTGGTAATTCATCATCACTACACAAGAAACTTTTAGAATTTAGCTTAAAACAAGAAATCAATAGAACAAGAAACAAACAAGAATCATAAGAACACTGGGCGGTAAAAATAACGGGTCATAATGAAAGATCGCGGTATCCCCCAAAACTGTTTAAAAAGATCGCTCGAATGAACAGTATGTCATGACTAGATTAGAAAGAGAATTTATTTGTACATGTTACAGCTTAAAAATAAAATTCAGAATTTTGAAAATGACAAAACGGATTTTTTTTAAAACTGTCAAAGCAATGTAAGTCCAACAAGATTGTACGATAACTTTGTAAAGTTGATATGAGATTGCTGATAGTTTCTTAGTGAATATGTGATCAAATACCTATTATTTTAATTCACGATGGTACACAACCTCATAGTGCTCATTTGGTCAATTACTATATTCAAGATGTCAGTATTAGGTAGCCTGGAATAGCCAGCCCAGACTCAATTCCTCGGAACATGTGCTATATCTGCCTACAATGCTTTGCAAGCTCCAGCAATTCACACAATTTGAAGAACATTTTAGTTTATGGACACTTCCAGTATGTTCATAAATGAAAATGTTACTAAACGTTTTCCTTTACGGAATCCCAAATCGACTTAATGAAGTTATACTGAGTCGGGGAGAAATTCAAAGTTAAAAAATATATTATTTTTGTTTTATCAAAATGCGATATGTATTTTATGCTGTCATAAGTTATAAGTTTTTTTAAGTATTTTTTTTTTAATAATGTTTAAGTATTTTTTTTTTTCATGTATTATTAAGTCATTACAGTTTTGCTTTGCTTTATTTAAAAAACACTGACCTCACTTTAGGAGAATATTGATGATGATTGCTCCCGGCCGATTTCGGCCACGGCGACTGCACTCAACTCCGATTTTGTCTTTGGTGTGCTCGCGTGTGGCTTATGTAGCCAATTTTTTGCGTAAAAATCCTCGCACACTGCGAGCACGTTAGCACACCGTTCACATAATTATAACTAATGGCCACTGGTGGTCGAGCCTTTAGTTCATCTCGCTTGGCGTCTAGCTCACAGAGCCGCCTGTCCTCAAAGTTTTGGGCGCTCGTTTTAACTAGCTCCCTCCACTCAGTCCTTCTGGCTGCCTGCTGCTCCCATAGCAGCGGGTCGATGTTGCACCTCTTCATGTGCCGCTTAAGCACATCTTTGTACCTGAGGATTTGACCGCCATGCTTACGCTTGCCTTCCTCCAGTTCCGAGTAAAAGATGCGCTTAGCAACTCTTTGCTCCGCCATACGTGACACGTGTCCGCACCACCGAAGCTGACGCCGCATAAGGTAAGCCTCAATGCCACCTACATTGGCTCTTCGCAGCACTTCGGTGTTCCGTACACGATCAGACCATTGTATGTTAAGTATTTTACGCACACATTTGAGGTGAAATCGGTCGAGCGTGTGGATGTGACGGCGGTACACGGTCCACGTTTCGGCAGAATAAAGTAAATTTGGCAGCACAACAGCCATGTAGACGGAGATCTTAGTCGCCAGCTTTAGGTCATGGGAGCTGAAGACCTTCGCATCCAACTTGCCGAACGATGCAGCAGCAGCGCCGATCCTGCTGTTGATTTCCGCGTCTAGATCACATTTAGAAGATATTCTGCTCCCCAGATAACGGAACTTGTCGACTTGATTCAGCTTGTACCTACCGAGTTTTATTGCCAATGCCTCGTGACCTTGTATGTCTAGGGACATCACTTCCGTCTTTTTAACGCTAATTTTTAAGCCGAATTTTCGGCACGACTCGTTGAAATCGAACATTAGCTGCTGCAGGCCGTCTGGGGATTCTGTAACAAAGCATAGGTCATCGGCGTACATTATTTCGGTGATCATAGTATGCGAAACTTTGGTGCGAGCCTTCAGTCTTGCCAGATTAAATATACCGCCGTCCGTACGGAAACGGATGCGGACACCTTCAGAGGTTAATTGCAAGACTTCTTGAATAACAACTGCAAAGTACAACGCGAACAGTGTGGGTGCCAGTACGCATCCCTGTTTTACCCCACAGGTGACGGGGAAAATCTCAGACTGTTCATCGTTGACAGTGACACAGCACTTCATGTCATCGTGTAGGAGTCTTAGAAGCCTTACAAACTTCTCTGTACACCCGATCTTAGAAAGTACTATCCAGGGGGCTTCTCGGGGCACGCTGTCAAAGGCCTTTTCAAGGTCAACGAAGCAGAGATATAAATGTCGACCTTGCTCTCTGCTTTTCTCCTGCAGTTGACGTACAGAGAAGATGGCCTCACACGTTCCTCGTTCAGGTCGGAAGCCAAACTGGGTCTCGGGTAAAAGCTGTTCTGAAAGTTTCATGAGGCGGTTAAGTAGTACACGGGCAAAAACTTTTCCGGGGACTGATAGAAGTGAAATACCGCGGTATGAATTGCAATCGGATCGGTCACCTTTGTTCTTATATAGGGCCCTTATGCGTGATAATTTAAAAGTAGGTGGGACTTGTTCTTCTTTCCACATACGATCAAAGTGTTCCCAAATAGCCAGTTGCAAATCATTACCACCGTATTTAAGCAGTTCTCCTGGTATAAAGTCGATGCCCACCGCGCGCTTATTTTTCTGTTGATTGATGGCGAGAGCAATCTCCTCACATGATAGTGACTCATCCAGCTCAGTGCAAATTGGGAGTTGAGGTATCGAACGAATGAGTTCCAGGTCTGCAGCCCGGTCCACATTCAGCAGAATGCTGAAGTGTTCCGCCCAACGTTCGAGTACTTCCTCTTTGCTTTTGAGAAGTCCTTCGCCATTAGCAGGCTTAATGGGCACTTTTGCAAAGGAAGTCGTACTAATTAGCTTACGAACCTCACCATAAAACTCTCCAAACTGATTAGTGTCAGCGAGCCACTGAATGTGATGAGCTTTCTCCCGCCACCATTTATCCTTAGTTTCCCGAGATAGCCGCCTAAGCTCCTGGTCACTTTTTCTGATCTCCGTAGCTCGCACATTTTGGTTTACTTTTTTTCCGTGGTGTTGCCGGAGAAGACGTCGGTGTCTATCGACTGCCCCTGTCAGGACTATGTCATTCTCATCGAACCTGTCTTCGGTCTTTCGGACTTTTTGATCCAAAACAGTTGCAGCGGTGTCTAGGATATGAGAAGACAGAGTACACCAATCGCAGTCAACTCGGCCAGTGTCTTTGTTGACGGATGGTAATCCAGTGGCCAAAGTGCGAGCATATTTCCCCCTCGTCACAGGATCTTTTAGTCCATCCACGGTAAAACTCACATTTGGCTTAGATTTTCTAGACCGGCGGGGAAAGTGGAGTTGGAGACGCAGAACAACAAGCCTGTGATCAGTCCAGCAGTGGGCACCACGCATTGCGCGGGTAACGAGGACCTGGGAAACGTCTCGTTGCCGTACAATGGCATAATCAATAAGATGCCAGTGTTTGGACCTTGGGTGCATCCAGGTGTTCTTATATTTAGCGGGAAGTCTGAACATGGTACTCGTGATGGCAAGTTGGAATTGTGCGCAGAGACTGAGTAACAGGTGTCCGTTGCTGTGCATGCACCCAACTCCGTGCTTACCCAAGACCTTAGGCCATACATCGTAGTCCCGTCCAACTCAGGCATTAAAATCGCCCAACAGAAGAATCTGCTCTTTAGGCCTTATAACCTTATGTTTTTAATGCATTTTGCAAGCTCCTCATAGAACTGATCTTTAATGTCATCAGAGTTGTTTAAGGTAGGCGCATAAACACTGATGACATTAAGATAGTTCTGATTGTCAAGATGTAGGCGCAGTGTGGTAACGCGGTCCGAGATGTGAATGGGACACTCTTGGAGTTGCTTGACAAATCTATTCCTGATCGCAAATCCAACACCTGACCGTCGCGGTTCTGAGGCAGCGAGTCCTTTCCAAAAGAAAGTGTACCCACCACCGTGTTCCACCAGTTCTCCTTCTTCCGCTAAATGTGTCTCGCTGAGGGCAGCCACATCTACATCGTAGCGAAGAAGTTCTCGGGCAACAATGGCGGTTTTTCGTTCTGGACAGTTACTTTCATTGCGATCAAGGAGTGTCCGTTCCAAGCGCCAAAAGTCATATTTGGTGTTTTGTTGTTATCATAATTACTTTTGCGACGTCGACCGCGATTTATCGATGCGGAG